TTTGATGCTTTACTGTTGACTTGGTGAACATTGAAATAGCTACTTGTCTGGAATTGTTATAATAATTTTTCCAACATTCTGATTTCTTCTTTCTTATCCTGAGCACAGTCTGGGGCCTTGGGATTCACAGAACTTTCTTCTTAATGGAATTTTTAATTCCCACATGTATGCATGCACAAACCAGTAAAAGGGAATTAATACCATCTCAGTGTGTTTTATTGCTATTTGCAGTGTGTGTTGGAGGTGTTTGTAATTTACCACAGGTTTGGTAAATTATATTTGGTATATACCACACCAGATTCTGTTCTCAGTAACTTTACAGTGGTGCAAATTGAACTGCAACCTGATGCTTTATATATCTGAACTGTGTTTCATTATAAGTGAAACTATACAAAGTCAGAGTGGTCAGTGGTACCACTTGGTCCCTGCTCTGAGTAGTGCTTTGAGGGCTTGTGTAGTTGCACATCTTCATAGCATTGGGATCCTGATGTGCTCTAGAAAATGCTGGGTTTGTGAGCTGCTGCTGCTGCTTATAAATAAACTGCCAGTTTTAATAATTTCTTCAGGAAACATGGAAACATGCTATTGAGAAAGCTAAACACATGCCTGATCCGTGGGCAGAATTTCACCTGGAGGACGTTGAGACAGAACACGCCACTCGTTACAGGTCTGTGGGTCTTTCTGCTTGGGATGCTGATGTTAAACAGAACTACTGGTCTGTGCAAGGGCTGTGTTTGTGTAGTGCAGAATATCTGTAATTATGTGGCAGAAGAACTTTTAATAGTGCCCAAAGTCAGCGTGTCCTAACTTGGTCTCCCAGGAATGTGTAAATACTGCACATCATCAAAAAATAAATCTTTCAGCAACCAGTGTCAACACTCTTGCTCTCCCACCCAAACAGTATCTAGGACTTCCATCATGTAGACAGGAAGCAAGGCTGAAAAATATTTTCTAGATGATTTATTAGTGCTTTAAACTTAATCTAATAAGGAAATGAATCCCAATAAAGAGGCAGCATACTTAGTTTGAATAGTTTAGGGAAAAAAGTGCAGCATAACACTCTGTGCCTTTCCCAGAATAGCAGTTTCAGTGTTGCTAGTCCGTGCAGTATTGTTGCATATGACTGGAATGTACATCCTTATGAAGCCCAGAATAGCTCAGCATGGTGTACGTGCTGAAACTGAGTTTGGCCCTTAAACTGATTTTAGTGCTTTAACACAAGCTTTGCCAAAATATTGACTCTACTGACACAGGTTTCTGGGTGGAAGGGGTAGGGGTTAGAGGCCAGTTAATTACCACTTAGCATCAGTGTTTGGGGGAGGCCTCCCTTCCTATCATATACCACTGTCACACATTGCTGCTCTTCCCCACAGACTGCATCTGCCCCGGTCAGGCACACAGTCCTGAAATAGTTTGCATATTTTAAAATGCAAATAAGTGGTAATATTGGTTTAAGGGTACTCAAATACCCTGTTATAAAGAGATGGCTCTGATACTCCTATCTCCACCTCTTATCTGCTGCAAACTTGGGTGATAGGTAGTGTGTGAGGGGGAATATGGGTGTGTGCATGCACGAAGAACTCTGTGCAGGTTGGGAGAATCAGCCTGGAAACAATCATGTGTTGGTGACTCAATGTCTGTGGTTCTCAATTTGACTTCTACTGTGTGGGGAGTTAAGGGGGTGGGGAGAAACCACAGTCATAGTCTTTGTATTGTCACATGGTTGTGCAAAGGCTTGTTCCTCCCTCGGTGCAGTGCTGAGCAGTTCTTGGTCCCACTGTCTTTCACAGCTGGTGCTGCTTTCTGCTGATGTCCTCCACAGCCCCAAGGCAGATAACCCAGCCACAACCAGGTCTCTGCAGGCTCAGGGCTGGGGGAGACAACCTGTCCAGTGTGTAGAGCTTGGTTAGGCTCTTTCTGCCCTCAGTGTGCTGCCCAGGCATCACAGAGATTTCACTTCAAAGCAGATAAAGCCTGATTTATAGTGTTGCAGAAGCTGAGCTTCTGCAGTGGAATCTGCTCGTTGTCAAGAGGATTCAGTGTCTCTTCAGAAAAGCTGCATGTTATTTCTGCTTTCCTGTCCAAAGTGGGGAGGGCCAGAGTGTGGTGGGAAGGCTAGAACCTTTTGTGCTGGAGTGGCAGCAGCACTTTCTAGCAGTTAGTCACAGAAAAGGAAGGATAGGTGCTGGGCATGGGAGGATTTGGGTTCCCTCTGCATTCTTCTGAGGCATATCTCTTGATTTTGCAGGTACAATGCAGTTACTGGGGACTGGGTTGAAGACGAAGTCCTCATCAAGATGGCTTCACAAGTAAGATTGCATTGTTCTTCATGTTTATTGGCAGCAAGTTTGTCATTTCCTTCCTGTGCCTGAATAGTGGCAGCAAGATGTTTTCCTCATAGAAGCTTTGAAGTCTCGATGTCATTCTATTTTCCTACCTCTCTTTTTCCTTGGCTCATTCTCCCCAGAGTAGAGTAGAAAATGGAGTCAGCCCTTCCCTGTCATCAACATGAGGTATTTGTTCCATTCCCAGTTATTTCCCTTCCATTACAACCCTCCCATTTCCTGCTAGCTTCGTTTCCCTGCCTGGCATTAGTCCTACTATTTTGTGTGCTTCCAAATAATTTCTGCTTTTCTTATGGAAACAGACTGAATTTTCTTTATCTGAGGGTAGAAGCTACTGTCACTTCCCAGTTATATCATGGGGTTGGTTGTGTGTTGGTTGCTCTGTGCTGCTGATGTAGTATGTGGCATCTGTGGAGATGATGCTCTGTTTGGCACCTCCTGTATGGAAGGCTAAATGCAGAGAGCTTGAGGTCTGCAAAGCCAACTTCTCTAGGCAGTCACACACAGCTGCTCCCAACTGCAGAGAGAATTGAAACAGCTTCTTTAAAAGACATATCATGTCTGCTCCATGGTATACTGTGGGAGGGATGGCTTATTCCCAGTGTCTTTTCCCCAGATTCCTGCTTACACTGTCAGTGGGTTTTGGCTTTTCCTTGGAGAAATATTTTAGAGAGTGTGTTTGAAAACTGCTTTCTGCAGGATATAGAGGGGAGGACATGGTTGTGTCTCTTGTTGGTTAGAAATAACTGTGTGGAAATGGCAGTGATGGAATTTGTTTTGGTTTTTTCCCCATAGCCTTTTGGCCGTGGAGCAATGCGAGAGTGTTTCAGAACGTAAGTATCTGCTGCCTTATCTTTGTTGGCCTCCGTGCACTGTTTTCTTCTGTTGTGACTGGAATTTCACTTAGGTGTGGTGGAAATAGTGTAAAGCTCAACTCCTTTCTAAAAGGCATAGCTGAGGAGTCTATTCCTGTTTGTGGGACTCCAGCAGCAGCCCAGGGAGTGGAGTGGGGTTCAGAAAGCAGAATGTTCTCTGCAGGGAAGCATGAGCAAGTGTGATGCAGGTATCCAGTGAGCTTCCTTTGGAAAGCCAAGCCATTGCCTGTACTGGAATTGCAGTGGGATGGATGACCTGCAATGATGTCCAGTCTCAGCAGTTATTTCTTCCTGATGTTACAAAATACCTTACAATTTGATATGAGGCCACAGGTGTGTGTAGCCTGGAGACCAGCTTGAGACCGATAGTTAGGCAGAGAAAAGGAGAAAGAATATCTGGATGGTTCAGTGTCGATTTAGAAAGCCTCCACTGGTGAAGGTTATCCTCCCAGAGTTTACTTTGGATCACACGTACCACAGTAATCCTGTTCTGAGTAAGGCAGAACTTGAACACTAACAGTTGCACTTTCCAGAAGGGTCAAGTGTGGGGGAAGACAGAGGAGGAACTTTTCTTTCCTTGGAGAGTGTTAGCAGATATGGTTGTGGGTATCAGCCTGTGGCCATAGATCAATGTGTGTTAAGTGATTATCCCACCCTTTCCAGGCTCTGGAAACAAATGTTTCCTGGAAAACATACGTGTGTGTGTTTATGAACATTCCCTCTTGTTCTCAGCTGTGGAATCCTGAGAAATCTCATTTAATGTCTGGTTTTACTTCTGGAGAGATAGATTCTCCTGAATGACAGAAGTGTGATGCTTTGTGCTTGAGCAGAGGGGAAGAAAACTAACCCCCTCAGTGCTCCACTCTGGCATTGTTCCAGTATCAGTTCATGCTGGTGGCTCTGTTCATGCACATCCAGATGGATACAGTGGTGAGTGAAGCCAAGGAAGTAACAAATCTGAGCCTGCTGACATTGCTGCTGACACTGCTTTTAGCTTTTGGCATTTACCAAACTCCCCATTACACAATATTTTGAGTGATGCCATAAACAGAAATCTATGCTAGCAGCTTTGCCTTAACCTCTTGTACAAAGAAAGCATAATTTGTATGTCAGCCTCCCTGCTGGATTTTCCCTAAGTCTCAGTGGTGCACTGATAGTTCCCATCTGGAGCTCTCTACTAGATTTCTGTAACTCTGGAAGTCTTTAGTCATGATAGTGACAGCATTAGCTGCACTTGGCTAATGAGCTTTGGGGGATATTGGCTTTAGAAGAGAACTAACTGGCTTGTTCTATGCAGAGAAATGTATTTCTTCAAGAATTAGGAAGGGTTTGGGTCCTGTCTGAAATTCTTACCTCACTTGCTTGTTACTTCATTCACAGGCCTCTGTTACAGCTGCTGTCTGTCCATTCCTGCAGGAGGACAGACTTTCTGAAGTTGCTTTGCCTTTAGACTGTCCCCTGTACCAAGACCTGTACACCAAAGTCTTGGAAGGGAGAGAGGAAAGGAAGGAGGGGAAGGGTTGAGAGTTTGTGTGCTGCTACTAATTAAGATACCTGCTTAATGCATTTGTTGGCAACCAGCAGATTCTCTGTTATCAAAGTTTTCCCCTGCCACACAACACCTTCTCCCCACCCTAGCCCTCCTGCTTTTGAGGGATATATGGATTAAAGGTTTGCACATCAACAAAAATTAAAAGCTACATCATAAGAACTTGCCCTTTTCCTAGGAGAGGTTTCTCTCAGTTCATGTTTGGAATGCCACTCCCTGTTAAATCCTGCAGAATATAATTGTTGACATTAGAACAAGGTGTTCAGGTGGCACTAACCCTTCATGCCCTGGGTTTGAGGGGAGCAAGGAGGGAAAGGAAAGGAGAAAAGGAGGAAGTCCAGGTTAGAATTGGCTGCAGCCAAACCAAACAGTTTGGCACATCCCAGCCATTCCCATGGGACATGTCACTTTCCCTTATCCCCTACCTGTGCTTCATGTTTCAACTAGAATTCCTGGTAAACCACTGAGGGTAATGCTGATCTTGAGGCCTGACTGCCTGTGCAGGCAAAGAAATGGGAAAAATTGAATTAAAATTCTTGGGGTTGCTTTCACCAACAATTGATTTGTCTTTCAGGAAAAAACTGTCCAACTTCTTACACACACAGAACTGGAAAGGTGCCTATAACTATGTTGCTAAGCTGTACATAGAGAGTGTGAGCAGGGAGGTGTATTTTGAGGATGTTCGACTGCAGATGGAAGCAAAACTCTGGGGAGAAGAGTACAATCGGCATAAGCCACCAAAGCAGGTACATTGAGACCTCACTAAGCAAAAATGAAGGCTTGCTCTCCTATGGGATTAGCTTTCCAATTACTTGTTCACATTCCATTACATTTAAATACTTAGATTCTTTTGCCCTACTGTGTTTCCCAGTAAATGATAGCTCATTTTGAATGAAATGCAGAAATTGCTTTGTATTTCCACAATCAGGGGCCGTGTGTGAATGTCTGACTGTGCTCAGCTGTTGACTGAAGACCAAAATAAAATGGTGTTTGTATTGCTCTCTTTGATGTGTGCCCAGCTGCTTTTGAGATAACCAGAGATGCCACAGAATTTATTGCCAGCAGGAGTCTCAGTACTTAACTGTTAGTGCTCCAGGAAGGTAGATGCTAAAGTCTTGTGAACCTATCCAAACATATAACTAGTACTGGTTTTTAAGAAGAGTTGGAAACCTGCTGGAAGCCTTAACAATTTTAATAGCCAAAGTGAGTGCTTCTGAATATGTGGAGTTATGTGCATTGCCTTCCATATGAGGGTTAGTCTCACAACAGCAAGGTGAGGTATAGAGGGAAGTGCACAGAGAGGAATCCAGAAACCTAGAAGTTTCAAATGCTGTGTGAGGAAAAAGATGTAAGCAGAGTGAGAGTTTTGACAGTTTCTCCTTTAAGAATGTGCCTGGGACAGAGCGAGGAGATGAGTCAGGATACAGAAATACTCAAACTGTAGATTCCCTCAGTTCTGATTTGGAAAGGCATTTCTTGAAGCTGTGCAGTAGTGACTGTATGATTTCCTCTCTGGGTGCAGACTCTTTGCAATGTAGCCTTAAGGTACCCACAAATTAAAACAGAAAGTCAAGCACTTGCTAAGGATTTTTCAGAGCTGTTTTGAAGTGACTGCTTTTAATTTAATTCCTCCAATAACCTAAGAAACATGTGACTCTTGCCCCACCCCCTTGTTAAACAGACATATCTTTGCAATTGTTCAGCTTCTTGGGAAAGTTTTCACAGCTGAAGGATTCACATACACTTTGAACTCAAGACAGTATTGTGTTAGTCACTGTTTGTCTTCTTTCCCTTCCCAGGTGGATATAGTACAGACCTGTATTATTGAAATGAAGAACAGACCTGGAAAGCCTCTCTTCCATCTGGAACATTACATTGAGGGCAAATACATCAAATACAACTCAAATTCTGGATTTGTGCGAGATGATGACATTCGTCTTACCCCTCAAGTGAGGCTTTGTTTAATGCTTCCCTTAGAGCCTGCTGCAGGGAGTTCCTTGGCTCCATCCAGACGTCTTGCATTACTGCCAAGGAAGGAAACTTCAGGCTCTCCAGTACAATGCCAAATTAATTTCTCTTTGCAGTTTGCCTGCCCCTTACTTGGGGCCTGCTCTTTCAAGCACTGAGTGCTGCTTATTGCATATCAGTGGCTGTTGCTCTTAGTTGAGTTAATTCTCTTTGGAAAACTTAAGCCCTTTGACTTTAATCATAAATACAGGCATCAAAATATTTCAAACTTCCTTCAAATTAAGGCACTGAGAGATATCGCTCCTGTACTATGTTCCGAATAGTCTTTTGGTGCCTCATGTAATATACAAAAGGAGCTGGCAGGTATCCAACTGGTGTAAATAACAAATTGAGTCCATTTGCTTATAAGAATGTGGCCTTTTCAGCTCCAGCCTCTGAATAGGTGAATCTCAGATTGCATATAGAAATCCAACTAGTGATTTTTTGGATCTTCTAAAAGAACTTTAAAATAGTGTTGAAAAATGCAAAGTGGTCACCATGGCAAAAAAGTGTTTTACTGGACCTTGAGCATTTTGTTCTTTACCTTTTTTCTACTATTTTTAAGGTATTTGTCAGGGTACTTGCTACTTAATGTAGCAGAGAATTTGTCCTGGGCTGTCTTTTGTACACTGAATCAGTGCTGTGCTTTCACAGGTTGGGAACAAAATGTTCCACAGTATTTGCTGCAGTTAAAATGTTTGTCTATCACCACCAGTCACCTCCCCCAGGCCTGGCTCACTTTCTTGAAGGCCTTCCCAGAAGATTCCTGATATCTCAGCTTCATGCTGGAGATAAGGGCTTTTTATACCTGATTCTTGAAATATGTATATCAAATGTACATATCATTATCTGATACACAAATGCA